AGCATCTGCAGCTTGCAGTGAAGCTTTGTGCCAAGCTGATAGCTCAGGAGCTGGCCACTTGCAGCAGCACAGTCATGCCGTGAGCACCCGATGGAGGGTGCCAACCGAACGGGGCTCATTCTCCCCATGCCTCCTTCCGTTGGGAGCGTTTGTGTTTTGGATCCAAATGTCAGCTTGTACAGCTTCTATTCAAGGCGACGAGCCTGCATGTCGAGTGATATATCGCTTCGGCGCAGCAAAAAACTCGCCTTAGTCCATGTCGAGTGGACGACACATTTGGGTGGGGGATAGAATTCCGGCATGTCGGTATCAGAAAATCGGCTGCTCAGACATTCGTGACAGGAGCCATAGCCCGGAGAATCACTCAGCATGCAGAATTTGAAGTTGCTGCATCTGGCCAGGGCAAGCAATGGCAGTGCCTGGAGGACATGGAGAACCGGAAGCTGGTTCTCTTCCATGTCTTCGAAGCAGACCACTAGATGCAAGCTGCTGCCACGCCAAACGAACAGGGTTGCTGCATACTACAGCAGGACAAGCACCTGGGCTAGCAAGATACAGAATAACCGAATGGCAAAGAAGTTCAGCAACTTCAGAGTGGTGCAAGAGTCAGCAACGAGCTTACGATAATGCCAGGTGAACCAGCAGAGGCAGAAAGCTTATGCCGACATCCTTGACCGGCGTCTCCGGGTTGAGGCCACCTTTCATCCAATACCCTTTTAGCGTTGAGGACTTTGCAGTTGCAGCGAAGATATCCATCTGTGTCCGTGTTTGCCTGGCTCTTGGAGTTCCTATAACAAGCACACACTCACCTTTCACCTGTCATGAAGCTGAGAGCAGCCTGCAGGGAAAGCAGCAGAGTGTCACCAAAGAGCGCAACCTGGTGATACGCACGGAGGCATGGGGCTCCCTGTTTCGTGCATGGCGAAAACTGCAAATCTGTAGCGATGCGGCAGACCGCAGATCATTATCAACAAATCGTTATCAGAATCATGGCCGTATGACCTTTGATGACCATGATGCTGATGATGACGATGCATATGATGAGGATGACGATAATGGTAAGGATGAGGGTGAGAACGCGCATTCATGAAAGTAACGATGACGGCGCTCTGCTGATGATGGCAGTGATTGAGGGTGCCGACAAAGACAGTGCAGTTCACAAAGGCCGATCTTTGCAGCACCATGTGTGTGTCTCTCCCGGTTGCATCTACACCCACCAGCACGCTGGATAGAGTATGGTAGTGTGATTGTACGAGTGCCTCGTCGTCGGCTCTCCGTGCTGTATCACAAATCAGAACAGGCGCTGTTATACCTGGAAAAGGACAAGCCTGTGGTCATCTAGGAGTTCCATGGCGAAGTAGCATAGCAGAGCCGCAGGCCGGGGACTCTTCCGATTGGCTGTCTCCCCCTATTTTCCAAGTCTCCGGCACGAACAAAGCAAGCCACAAGACGCAAATCAAATAAATACCCGAAGGCCCACAGTCCAGTCCAAAACCCCCAAGCCTCACGAATGTCCCCAAAGCCCATGTACTTTCACTTGAAGCATGGGCCAGACTGCCGGAGGCCACCAAATTGTGCAGTGGCCGTGCCGAGGGCGAGGCGTCGACTGGGCTTATGAAGAAGCTTGGAGTTTCGGTCTCGTCTTGCACTGACAGCTGGCACTACGTCCCACATGCAAGTTGCTTGTCAGGCGATCAACCACATCCGTGCTCGTAAAGAGCGTTTTGGAGTGGAAGTGGAGCAGATGCCGTGCCCTAAGACAGCCATGGTTCTAGGGAAATACTCACGGCACAACCGGCATGGTACAGCTCCTTTTGCTGCTGTGCAGGTGGAAAGACTGGCAGCAGCGCGTCGCCGCCAAAATTCGGGAGGACGATGCGGGGCAGACAGCCGACTTTCTTCAACCGCTGGGTGACCCCATGGCACCAGCTACTGCCTGCTACTGTGGCTCTGTGGTGTCTCGCAAGGACATTGAAGTGGCCCGCAGGGATGCCGAGCACTGCAAAGCAAGGCAACAGGAAGCCATGGAGGCTCGGCTGTGGGTCTTAGCAGCCTTAGCAGCGTTCTGCCAGGGGGATTCTACAGCGAACGTTGCGCCGGATGTCAAAGCTCGGTGGATTGCTGAGCTGGCATAGATGGATCAAGCAGAGAAGAGTAGCCTTTGTAGGTAGCGCCAGGTAGGGGCACGGCGGGGCCGTGACTCAGTCGTGCAGGCACCGGAACTTACTGCAAAGGAGCGGCTCGTTCCATGATGCATCGCAGATATTCGTGCTCCCTTTCCATCTTGCAGCTTACCTTCTGATCGTCTTGTTGCGTGCTTCAGGCTATGCCGGACAAGGATGTGCCCCTCACTGCCGTGGTCGGCGCCGCGGCGGCTGCCAGCGCGGTGGTCGGCGCCGCCACGGGCGTGGCCGCATGGTTTCCTGTTATTCCCTGATATGTCCCATGTGTCCGGTCTGTCGCCATCGCAGCTGCGACCGATGCGGGGTTCAGGCGGTTTTACTATCTTGCGAGAGACTTGAAACTTGTGTCTGACCAAATCTGACGTTTGGAGGTTTGAACATGTAGGGCCCCGTGCACCAAAAAAAACCTAAACTCCTAAACCGTGTAGGGGGTTCATGGCCATCCCTGTCCCGGCCTTGTTTTTGTCCGGATCTCGGCTTCAGGTTTTGAGGCAAGGTCGCCCTCGCCAGGCTCTGCAGGTCTTTTTCAATTCCTAGTTACAGTAAACTACAGACTGGTATGTCTAGGGTTTAGGGTTTAGGGCATCTACCATTCTACTGTAAGATTATATTGCGACCTACCATAAGATACTGTGATCTACTACGAGGCCCTCTTCATGGCTCTGAAGGGGAAGGAGAAGGCAACGGCGAGCGCGAGCCCGGCGAGCCTTGGACGAAAATCGCCGGCTGCTTGCACCACGAAGATTCTGCCTCGTAGGGTTTTGGAGTATGGGAGTTTCAGAAAGTTAGGGGTACCTTATTTTGGGGTCCTTATAATAAGGATCCTGCTGAAGATTCTGCCTTGTAGGGTTTTGGAGTATCTGATGGGCCTGATAGGCAATGACGGGCTCTGAAACACACCAAGCTTCAGAGATCCCCGGCTCTAAACTATTGAAGTTCTAGGGTCTTTGGCGTGGCCCAAGCCTGAAGACCCCAAACTTCGTCATGCACCGACCTCACCGAGGCCTGAGATCCCTAAGATGAAGAGCGCCTCTCCAGACAGTGGCATGATGGTGGAGGACGGGGGCGCTCGAGAGAGAGAGAGAGAGACCTTCCGAAGTGTTTTAAGCATCAATTCGTTTTCACTGTATTCTTTGGAGTCGAGTAGCATGCAAGGACCAGAGGTCCAAGAAAGCCGGCCTTGCAGCCACGTGGACAAAGCCTGCCGGGACCCAGGATCCTTGATGTGCGGCGGCTGTCCTTTGACTTTCACACCGCTTTCTGCAGGTTGTGATTGCGAGTCCTGCCTTGGAGCCCTTGGCCAAAGAGGCCCGGAGTGCTGCCTTGCATCACCTCGGCTGCCCCTGAATGCCACCAAGCTTGCAGCCCTGAGGTTCGCAAGAGATTAGGAGAAGACGAGTACCCGGAGTGGGCCGGTGCGCGTCTCCAGCAATGCAGGGCTTGAGCTTAAGCTGAGCTCTTCGGCACCCCTCCTTTCATTAGGTCCGACCGTCAATCTGGAGTACTTCAAGTCGAAGGATCCGAACGTCAAGTGCCCTCAGCGGATGTTTGACTGCCTGATGGCCCCTTGGCGAAGAGGGCTGCAGCCGCTCTGTGCTGGCTGCCAGGTTCAATTGGAAGCGCGTCGTGGGTCGAAAAATTGTTTTCCTCTTCGACACCGTCGACCAGACCCGATTCTTCGAGCAGCGAGGGCCCCAAAAGCCAAAATCGCGGGATGAGCCCGTGGCCGGGCCCCTTTCACTGGATTTCTGCTTTTGCCGGGAGGCTCTCGCTGCTTCAGGCCCTGGCTTTGCTTTTGCCGCAAGCACCGACTCCAGAGGCCTAGAGCTCCCTGTGCGCAGGCCCTCCAGGGCTTTGCAGTTCCGGACGGCGAGGACAAGGGAACCAAGTGGAAGACCTATGCCTTGAGCCCAGTCCATGAAGTCCCTGCCCTGTACTGCGTGGCGAGCAGCCAGCTCCAAAGAATCAACATGCTCTCAAGGTGAATGCTGGTGCCTACTCCTGGGGTCGAGCTTCGCAAATCACCGTGGTCATACCGTGCCACGGATGCAATGCAAGAACATCCACTGAGCGCATGATGGCCGCTGACCACCCCCTGGAACCCTCCTTCTGCGGTGCTTGCGAGATCGCTCAGTGCTAAGGTGGTACAGACCATGCCAGATGCTTGGCTCCGAAGAGAATGTCTCGGGAAGTATCCTGCCAACCCAGTCCTACTCTATACCGACAAGGGGCTCCTTTTAGCATGTTGTAGCAGTTGTGGGGGCATTGCGGTAGCTCGTACATCGTAGAACCCTAGAGCAGCTGAGGATGGAGAGAACCAGCAGATGGCATCTGGATGACGCCGGGAAGTGGATAAACAGCAACCCGGAGGTTCGGGCCCGAGCTTCACACTTGCGATGCAGAGTTCCGCAGCCCATGCGTCTTTAGACTATCCCAGCAGAAGATCCCAGAGTCAACAAGAAGCTGATGGATTTCCATTCCACATGCCCATGCGCCAGGGAGCATGGCTGGATGTGCCCAATGCCTTGCAACTTGGCTAGAGATCCCTGCGCCGGCGGCGGCACAGCTCAGTTGGAGCTTCCAAACTGGATTTGTGCAAAAGAGCGGGACACCAGAGCCGGAAAGCCACGGTCGCGCTCGCGTGCTGCAAGCGGGTCGTAAGGTACATGGCACGTCTTCTTGCGACTCCTGGATCTGTCCCTCCGCTGCCCGGGCCGAACAGCTCCATGGACGGAATGCAACTTGGCCACGATGTCACTAGGTTTTAGGCTTTAGGATTCAGGATGGATTCAGGATTTATGTTTGAAGTTATGTTTAAATAACATCTCTCAGGTGTTGCCCCTGCTTTGGCCCAACTCCTATACTGTAGGGGCCTTGATAATTAGAATGGGGATTTTGAGGCCCGCTTTACAATAATTGTAATAAGGAAACCGCAAAGTAGTATTGGTAATAATTTCGGCCCCTTTAGCAACCTTTCGCCCGAGCGCCCGATCCGAGGCCGCTGAACCCTCTGTGGCCGGCGCCTTAGAGCTCTCTGCGACCCGCCCTTCTCCATGAGTATAAGGTGATTTTCATCTATATATATATATATAGATAGATGTGTATGTATATATAGATATAGATTATATATGTAGATATACATATATAGATGGATAGAGGCAACTCTGCTTCCGGTGATGCGGCCCGCATCGCTAGGCACCGAGACCGGAAACTCAGTGCCCAGGCGCCCACCCTTGGAGCTGCTCTTCGTGGAGCTTCACGAGGACCCCCAAGAGCCAGCCCTTCCTTGTGAGGAAAGGGCTTAGGTCTTAGGGATCTAGGGATTTGGGGTTTAGGGTTTAAGGTTTTGGGGCATTCTAGGGTTTAGGGCTTTAGGGTTTAGGGCATGGCCTGAAAGGCTCCGGCGAGTCAGGGTACTTGCGAGCCCAAGTCTTCCCTGAAGCTTCAAAGGTTCCCCCGACCCCGAATCCAGGAAGCGCCGGTGGCGCGGTCGGTTAGTGACCTCGGTGCCACCATCAGGCCGTGCGGAATTGGTACAGATCAGCCGGGGCCGCGCGTTCTTTGTCTTCGCAAGCTTTCTTCAACTTGGGGCTTGGGCTTCAATGGCACAGGAAAAGGGCAGTGGCCTCCGCTCCTGTCCCTCGCCTCCTTCGCACGGGTATGTCAGGATGGAGCGTTTTGTCCCCTACTTCTTGAAGAAGTACAAGGCCAAGCCGACATATCCAGGCCGGGCACTTCGTTGAACGTCGAAGTCGCCGAAATGAATGCTTTCATAGACCGCCAGTCCATCATTTACAATCTGACTGAGGGCGTTATTACTGGGTCACATATGGAAAATCTGTCTTAGTCGCTCACAAGGGTCAGCCGACATCATATACTTCTACACAATGCCGCCGCGACAGCTTTGTAACATTCGATTCCTTGTGGATCCTCGCCGCAGCCGAAGCCCTTTTCAAAACAGTCAGCCTTTTCGAATACCACGCCTGGAAGGCAAAAACAATGTGTACATCCTCTTCCCTGACCACGGCGCGTACGATCGCTATGCCGAAGCTGTGGAGCAGGAACTCTTCCTCGATCTCGACCACATCCTGCAAGTTGGATGCAGGATGCAGGTTTTCAGGCTTTCACGTTAAGGGTGTAAGGCGGTGTAGTTTCAGGTTTCTGGGCTTGCGGCTAAGCGTGTAGTAGGAGTCATTATTGGCAGGTTTAGGGTCGACAGGGTTCCGTATGCTACCGGCAGGCTGTTTTAGCGTAGCGCATCAAGTCATGCGGCATTGAGCGTGAGGTCAAGGCCCTGCATCCTGCGCCCAGGTACATCAAGAAGACAAGAGTTGGCGAGTCCATCGGGCAGGAGCAAAAACTTTTTTATGATCAGAACAGGACCCAACGAAGGGCTAACAACTAGGGTTGAGAAGGCAAGGGAGGGGGGGTTGCAGCTTCCGCTGTCCTGCGAGCCTGCAGGACGGAGTACGAGAAGACAATCCAGTTCAATTCGGACAAGGAGTGTGGTGTGAGACGAATAACGGTAAGACAGTAAGACATACTATCAGGCTCCCTCTTTTGTCCGTTCAGCTCAGCCAAGACAGCTCAGGCTACTCGTTTAGATGACGGAGCGGTACCTTTGAAGTTCTATTGGTCCCAAGAAAGCGCTGTAAGACTCTGCTGCAGCAGGACCACATTCTCATCATCGATGACTTCACCAACTCGGGAAGCACCCTGTTTGGGGCGGTTGAGCGTCTCGGCGACGAAAACGGCCTGTCAAGTCTCAAAGGGGGTGGCAGCGGGACTCGGGTGCATGCCGCTTTTCACGTCGCTCCAGCTGCAGCACTTGACAGATAGCGCTGCTAGATTCCAGCATCAGGCCATCCCGTTTGAAGAGTCGGCCGCAAGGGTTCATAGAAGGGTAGGGAATCATGGAGAAGAGCCTCTTAGACTCCGGATGTCGCTGACCGATCTTTCGCCGCAAGGTTAGTCAAGAAGTATGCAGGGGGCAAGGAGATGAACGTCTCCATTTTTGTGTCCCACCTCGTGGCGACCTATGATCCAAAGGCGAGCTGTGAGGGAGTTGGGTCGGCGTCATGCAATCGGAAAGCTGCAGTGGCCGTGCTTCAAGTCACCATGCAGGTCGTCGAGGGGCTGAAGGACAAGCTTCACAAGCTTGGCAAACAGTGCCGAGCCTTTGCAGCAATATTGCCACAACAGTCACTGGCGAGTTCTCTGAAGCATCACCTGCTGCTGCTGCTGCTGCTGCTGCTGTGCATCTGCTTGCTGGAGTAAATCGGCCAAGAAGGCCGGCGGGGCATGGACTAGCAGAATCGCAATTGGCAGTAGGCTGCAGCAAAGCATCAGCGGCACCAAGGTTTCTACACCACAAACTCCATCCCCATGACAACGGACTTGCTCAAGGGAGATGAGCAGGCCACGATCTTTGGTGAGTCTATCGGAAGGGTCGTTATCGGAAGCCTTGTTACTGGGAGTCGACAATCGTTTTGCAGGTGCTTGGTTTTGAGGTCGACCCTCCATGATTCTGTGTACTCGTACGATGGGAGGCAACGGTTATTGACATCTCCGACTTCATCGCAGAGTTGGTGGCGAAGTGATACTACTCGTGATCGGCTCTCTTGTTGCTCCGCAGTGGGCTGTGGCTTCTCAGGTGTTTGACCGGCATATCCGCAAGAGCTACCGGCTACCGTCATTCTAGGACGTATCAACTGTTCAAGTCGATAGACAGTGACGGGGGAACATAAGGTGCATGGGCTACATGAATACAAACACATAGCGAAGTATGGTGAGTGACAGCCCTCGTTATTTGACAGGGCTGTCCACTGGCGAGACTTGGGGATGTGTCGGTGATGCCTCGGTAGAAGACTGGGGTTCATGAGAGGCGACTGTACAAAAAGACTGAGGAAAGAACTGGTAATCTTTAAGCAGTCTGGGCTGGCGAGGCGCGATATGAATAGTAATAATCATAACAACAATAAGAGCCAATATTATAGCAACAATAACAATAAACAAAACATCATCTTCATAAAGGAGCTTTCTTGATCGTGATTCCACGAATCGAGCCTCGCTACCCCGGATGGAGCAAAGGGTTTCTTGTCCTTTGCGATCTCTTGGCCGACAGCGCCGCGACATATGTCGAAGAAACATGCACAGATCTCGCGCCCCAGTGTGTGTAGTGGGTCTGATGGTTTGATTTGGTGTTGTAGACTGTGCCTCAGCAGGTGGCGCTGACGCAAGAAAGGCCGTGCTCTCAGAGCTTGAAGTGCCTCCAGGAAGCTGCCTTGGTAGACGTTAGCCTGGAGTACCACATTTCAATTGCCAATTCCACCTCGCCAAGTTGTGCGAGGCTGTTGGTTGATCTTCTGGAAGCGGAGTTCTTGGCGCAGAAGGCTGGCAGATTCAGCCGCTTGCTCCGGTCACTCCTGGTGCCGAAGCCTCTGTGCTCTTCTTTTGTACAACCCTTGGATTGGCCTGACATGAGCCGGTGCCATAGATTGATTTAAGTGGAGATGGTTTCATTCTCCCAGACCCGTTTACCCGTCGTGAGTCCTTCTGCACTGGATGATTGTGTGACGCCATGCCCAGACCGTACCACACCCTCCTCTGAAGCCCGCAGGAGAGGGAGAAGCTCTACGAGGAGGTCCGGGGCCATGTGACATTGCTGCTGCCTGCCTTCCTACCGAAGGAATTGCCGGTGCTGCAAATAGAGCATACTTAGAGTCATCATGGAGTGCACGCCGAGGTGGAGGAACAGCAGAAGCGGCTGCGGCAAAGGCCGGATGTTGGAGATCTACACCAAGCTCTTGATTCAGCACCTTCAATACTTACTATCACAATCGTCAAAAAAACGTTTCCGTATTTGATGGTCAGACTGAATCTTACTGGTCATGGTCTTGATTCGGCATTGCCAGAGGAGCTTGAAAACGAAAGCGTCGAGCGCATCGGTCAGATTTGGGCAACATGCAGCCAATGCGTCAGAGCAAGAGCAATAGCGACGAAGTGGCATTGACTGACTACTCCAAAGATGCAGCTGGGAGATGATAACAGCACGCAAGCAGATGCCACACACTGAGCAATCGGAGACAACCTCAGCCTTCATGGATCTGTAAACATATCCTCACAACAACAACCAAGAAACACCGATCCGAAGTTCCGTTCAGGTTGCACGAGGAGCGGCGTGCCCTCGACGAGCGGCTGCAGGCCCTCCAAGCTCCCGAGCCTTCCTCGGCCGAAGCTCTGACCACGAGCCCGTCTTCTGCTCGCAAAGCTGTCGCTGCTTGTAACCGGGCTCCACCCACCCACCCACCCACCCGCTCTCGCAGTTCCCAATGCGCCAAGGTTTAACCTTTTTTGTAGGGGAAACGGTGGATGGCGCGATGGACAGCGCTCGTCATCATCACTGCGATCATCATCAGTGTTACCGGGACAAGAGGAGAAATCTCTTAATTACATGGAATGATGGAGGCAGCCGGCAGTTACAGGGACTTCTAGAATCATATGTTGACTTCTTATACGGCCCAACATGTATTGCGACAATACATTTCATTGGAGTCCATGTTGCCCGCGCACCGAGCCTGGTCCTGCTCTCTTAGATCCCACAAGAGATCTTGGTCTTGGAGGACCAAAGAAGCAGCTCACAAATTTCTGGCTGAGAAGAAAGCACAGGATCCTTCAAAGCGAATCCACGAAGAGCTGCTGTCCAGGCGTTCACCACGCGGCCTCCCACCACAGGCCCGGGATGGGTCCTTGCGCAGTCGAAATCTGTAAACTGTACCAAACCCAGGTTGAGTTCTTTCATGAATGCACCTGATCTCCTGGGGGCTATGCGCGGCTGAAGCTACATGATGCGCTTGATAGGTTTATCATGAGTCATCAATGATTCTGATACTGTCGTGCTGTTTGTAGCACATCTCGAGAACTGCTACCATCCAAGGAAATCCAGCGTACTGTAGTCATGGCGAGGGTGTAGAAGGTATACCATGAGTCAGTCATGGGTCTATGGCATATACGGGTTGAAGTGCCTGCGGTTGCAAGGGCCCGTTGCAGCTCCGGGTGCAGCTGCGAGCGCACCCAGTGCGGCGTCGGCCTTTGCCGCAGCTGCAGCACCTCCGCTCAGTGCAGTCTGGCTCTCAGTTCCGGCATCAAACCCGAACAGCCCCAATCGCGGCCGGAGCCTAGGCAGGAGCAGCAGGGGCTACTGCTTCGACAAGGCAGAGCTGATGGGGCTGGGGCGCTGTACTCCCACCACTTGGTATACTCATCCTGCGGTCCCATCTCTTCCAGAGTTATCAAAGTTGACGTGGACTTTTGGCACTTCCGATTGCCTGCTATCAGGCAAGGAGCGGCAGAAGCGCCAGCGCGGCCCTCAACTTCGAGTCTGGCCAAAGCAAAGCCTTCAGATCGGAGGAGAGCCTAAATGATCCGAAGCAGGGCCCAGGGGCTGGCCCAGGGGGAAATTAAGGTCACCGCATCAAAGGTGTGCGGTCGGGCCGCTTCAAACGACGCTGGCAGCTGTCTTGGCACGGGCAACATGCTTGAAGCTGCTTGTTTGGTGCTTTCGGGGCGGGTCACCATGTAGGTTGAGCGCCATTGGTACCGAGGATTTGTGCCCAAAGCAGGCACTCGCCATTTCGAGGCCTGAAAAGCTTACTCAAGTTGCACTCGCTTAATGTTCGCAGCTCGTGCACCGTCGCCAGATACTGTACAGCCTTTCTTCTGTGTTGATGCGCGCTATGAGGGCCATTTGCAAACATGAACAGCCAGGTGTACCAGCAGCTGCGCCGCAATGAGATGGAGATGCAGGACGCTACTGCATCTGAAGCTCACTTGGGTGGTTCGCTGGTGTGCGTGTGTGTGTGTGTGTGTTGCCTGGAGATTCTGCAGATCTCTCAGAAGCAATAGCAACGACATGTAATAAACGCGCTAAGCGCTTACCGCTGACCCGAAGGCCATGACCCTAGACCGAAATACTCCGGACTGTACACCTCCGGCGGTAGATTCTTAACCCCAAGCAATATAGAAGCCTCAATAATTGCCTACATTCTTTTTGTAGTTATAGTATAATGGCCCCAAAAACCCTATTCTAAGGCCCCTATAGTATAAATCCTAACCTTGAGCCCTGAAGCCGCTGTGAACGCTTCTGCTGAAAGGCCGACCTCAGACTACTGGAGGCTCAGCCGCTGAGTGTGCGAAGAGAGCTTCTGGCTGCGTGGAGGAATATAGGGCGCCTTAATAAAAACTACCTATACTATTTTGGGGGCTCCTTACCATAATGATAGTATAATATACCCAAAAGCCCTATTCTGATTATTAAGGCCCCCACATTACGCCGCAGTGCTTCTTGCTTGTTTAAGGGCCGTTGCAGGAGTGTTCAGCCTCTCAGGGCTCTGACCTGGTCTAAGCAGTGCCGTTTTGCGGAGTTTTTCCTAGAGCCGCGCAGGATCGGCAGGTGATCCATTGCCTCCACTGTGGATCCACGCGGGCACCCCCGGGGTCTCCCTGTGGGTGCGGGACTTGGATTCAGGGTCCTGTCTACGCCGCCTTCATGATGTCGAACAGCACTTTGGCGATCTGGCATCACTCATGGAGAGGCTTCTTGACTGTGACAGTGTGAAAGTCACAATGTACAGCACGCAGCGTACACGAAGAGCACGTTCATGTGGAATCTCTGCGATGTAGCTTGGGGTTTCCGTTCATGCGGGTGTTTTCTGTATCAGTGTTTGAGGGTTTCTTAAGGATCCTCCTATGTGATTATGTGGGGTCTGTATTGGAATTATTACTTGCCCTGCGGAGACACTGACTTTCCACACATTTGGTTCTACATCTCGCCTGAGGCGTTGTGACGTCTGCGGCCACTTTGTTGAGCTACTCCAGCTTCCTCCACAAATCGCACGAGGCCGGGGCTCGGAGTTTTGGGGGCAGAGGTGGTTAGGAGTGTAGTGGGGGAATTGATTAAGTGGGACACTTTGAAACATGTGTAGGAATGGTTTCAGGAAGAATTAAATTAACTTTCTTTTCCGGGCGTGTCGTCAAGCGAGAGTGCCTTCGAGTGGTTCTGGAGTTCTTACAAAGCAGACGGGAAGCAAGCGCTGAATGCCAGGCCCCGCACTTCACGTGAATGCGTCGCAGCCCCGAACATCGGATGCAGTGACACAGGCCGTTTCTGGGTTGCTGATGGTGGCTGACATCGGTCTGACAAGTTCGAGCGGCTTCGGTGAGGACATGCTTCACGAGTTTCGTTATTCCGATACTTCGATCGGGCTGTTCGGTTCAATGCGCAAGTATGGCACCGGTCCTTTTGATGCAAACGACAGGCAGGGCACCAGCCAGCATCCGTGACCATGACAGGCGTTCGTTCCAAGTTTATTTCGGATTTGGGGTTGTAGGGTATTCGGAGGATATTGGAACAGGCTGATGGGGCCTAGCCTCTAGCCGTAGGGTTGCAAAGAGCACATTGAATCCTGCTGCTGGGCAGTTTTGGCTCAAGCCTGACACGAACCCCGCCATCGCCAGCACACGAACCTCTGTCGAAGGCGGGCCGGCTTTCGACGTAACGTCGTTCTCAGAGCCGAACTTGCAGCGGTCAGTACAGAAAGAG